TTAAATATTTTGTTAATTATGCATATTATTCATTTCATATTTAATGATTCTATTTCAATTATTTATTTTAATAAAAATAATAATATTTAATTCGATTTCTCATTTAACCATTTCTTTAATTAATTATCTTAATTGGTTAAGTAAGAAAATTATTATTCAATTTAATTTATTTTTTAAATATTTAGTTAATTATGTATATTATTCATTTCATATTTAATGATTCTATTTCGATTATTCATTTGAATAAAAATAATAATATTTTATTCGATTTTTCATTTTACTATTTCTTTAATTAATTATCTTAATTCGATAAGTAAGAAAATTATTATTCAGTTTAATTTATTCTTTAAATATTTCGTTAATTATGTATATTATTGATTTCATGTTTAATTACTCTATTTCGATTATTTATTTGAATTAAAATATATTAATATTTTCATTTAAGTATTTCTTTTAATTAATTGTATTAATTGTTTCCATAATCAATTATTTTAATTTTCTTAAAATGTATCTTATTTGTTTCATATATTTAATTACTAAACATATATTTATTATTTATTTCGTATATTTAATTACTAAACATATATTTAAGTCAAAACAAAAAATTAAAATTCTATTTAATCTATTTTTAAATATTTCGTTCATTATCTTAACATATTATTTATTTCATATCTAATTACATTTTTTGACATAAAAATTAAAATAAATTAATGAAAAAAAAATATGAATGGTCGGGTCCGGACCTGATGGTTTGATGGTCCGTTACGGACCGTAACTGACTGGTCCGTAACGGACCAAAATTCCGTCCATCTCGTCGGAAAACTCCATTTCCGACGAGCTCCGTCTCATTTTTTCAATTTTTCCAACATTTCAACCTCAAATTCGATCTTTTCTTCCATTTTAACCATAAAAAATTGAATTTAACTCATTCAGATTCTAAACATTCAAACTTACACATTTTCAAAAAAATTATTTATAGAGAACATGTCTAACCTACGAGAAAATGGCGTTTCTCCGACTGATTGTGGTGTGTCCAGAGAGGTCGAAGTAGGACAGGTCCGGGTTGTCGGTTGGCGGCAAATCCAGACTCCTTTTTTACTTTTTTTTTCTCCTCTTTTTTCTCTCTAAATGCCTTCTCTTGATTTGCAAATGAGGGGGGTATTTTCGATCATAACAATTTTGTTTACATTTCATTTTTTTTTTTTCGAAAATTTGGCTTTGTGGAGAAGTGGGTGGGGTAGCCATTAGCCACCATTTCCACCGAATTTCCTTGCCAAGTGTTACATTGTTACTACGAAAAATTTCTTCTACAGTATTCAAATACAAGACCATAATTTGAATTTTGATTATTCTAACAAAATCCATTCAACCCGTGTTTATTCTAACAAAAGCCATTCTAACGGAAAAGTATAACACGGAGCGATCGGTGATGGAACCCTTAACCCCTAAGAGTTCCCATTCCAATTCACGCGTCTACGCTTTCATTTTAATTCTCACCTACTCTCCTTCTTAAACACACACAGCAGGAGCGCACTTGGTAAGAAAGAATCTTTGCAGGCTAAGAAATTGAATATCCTTTTGAAACTACTGTTTGCTTCGGATATCTGCATTTGAATCCTCGTTGAATTCTTGCCTAGGTAAAGTATTTTGCTTTTTCCTAATTTTTATTATCTATACAAATCGGTTTGCTTTTTGAGAAACTGATTTGGCCGAAATTTTGAAATTTATGGGGTGGTCTGTTAGCAAATTTTCGTTTCGTTCTGCAGATTTTGTGAGTAGATTGGTCACTGGAACACGAATCATGGCCATGGAGCTAAAACAATCGGTTCAGAACTTTTTCAATAAAAGGTGAGCACTTTATTTGCCTTGGTGAATTGTCAATTTTTCTATTGTGATTATTTTCTTTCTTGATTGAATATATTGCTTTGTGCATTGATCAATGGTGAACATTCATTTCTTTTATTTGGTTAGTTAGTAACACCAACGCCAGACACCTGGATCGTATGGGCCCTGGTTTGCTTAAAGCTTTTGGAAGTACAAAGATTTAGCCATAAGAATCATAACTCATACACGAAGAATGAAAAAATCGCATTTATGTATCTTTTATCTACTTTTCTAACTATGTTCCATAGTTCTTTGGAGTATTTTAGAAAGTTCAGATGCAGCATAAGTGTGCATGAGATTTTCTTGACATCTCGTGTCATGTGTATCTAATGGATAATAGCACAGTGCTGATTATTTCATGCAATTCGATCAATTTGTGTAAAATTTAGAATCCCAAATTTTTTGATGCAATCGTTGCCGTATACATGTTTATGTGCTTCTGTAAATGACATTTATCATTCATTAGATTTGACATGATCTAAATGCTTTAATGGTAAGATTTGATTTTCTATAGCTGCATTTTGTTTTATGACATCTTTCAATGTTGTCTTCCAGTGAAGAAGCTGCTGTTGATGATTCAGAAGCTGCAGATATTTTGAAGGAGTACTACATTCCTGATTACATACTTCTACCTGAGTCAGAAATTAGAGCCGGATACCATGTTCCTGCATGTCCAGTGATTGTATTTGTCAATTCCAAAAGTGGTGGGCAGCTGGGTGGTGAACTTCTAATAACGTATCGTACACTTCTTAACAAAAATCAGGTTCCATTTTCCCGTTTCAACATTTTTTCTTATTCTTTTGACTGCAAAAATCACTAAATCAATCATGGAAGAATTTAGACTGTAAGTTCTTAAGCAAAAGAGTTTTGACATTAGGATTTACTTATTTTTCAGGTGTTTAATTTGGCAGAACACATGCCCGACAAGGTGCTACACCGAGTGTATTTAAATTTGGAGAAGCACAAACAAAACAGAGATGAGTTATCTGCTGAAATTATGAGGAAATTGAGAATCATTGTAAGTTAAATAAGCAACTCCAATTTTTACACTATGGATTCTACTCAGATGTGCCAAATAGGGTTGGTGTAGTTTGTATACTCAACAAATAAATTTATAGATATTGTGATTTTCTTTTGTCGAATGTCTTAATAAATGATTGACTTTATAGGTTGCTGGTGGGGATGGAACAGCTGGTTGGCTCCTCGGAGTGGTTTCTGATCTTAAATTGTCCCAGCCACCACCAATTGCAACAATGCCACTGGGAACTGGAAACAATCTCCCGTTTGCATTTGGTTGGGTAAGATTATATTTTGTGGTAGGATAGAAGTTATTGCTTACTTATTAAATTTTTTTCAGAATTCAAAGAAATGAACCCAGTGAAGTGATACAGTAGTAACTCATACTTTTCAGAGCTAACAGATATCATATTTATAAGTTCTATCCGTATTCGTTTATTGATCTTGCTTATATCTCTTTAATTTCGTAAGACCGTGGTGGATGCCTCATGAAATTTCTTAGTTTTTCTTTGCTACTTCAGATTGTCCGTTTATTTTATTGGTATCATGATGTCTCGTTAGTGGACTACAATGACACATTAAGTGACTGGGTCTGAATGGAGGAAAAAACTATAAATTGGAAAAAATTGTATAAAGCAACTAATTATAAGAACTTGTGTCATCAATACTTATTCGTGTCAAATTTCCAATGTGTTCTTAGTCTAGGCTGAGACCTAGGCAAACCCAACCCGACATACCTATGTGGAGTCCCATACATTAGTAATGGCTGTTTGGTGGATGCTGTACAACTCAATGGTTGAACATGTTTAAATTTGATACCAAAATATTGAAAAGTGATAATTCAATACTATCCCCCCAACCCTGCTCTGATGTAGCTTACTTGATACTATGTTGTATGTGACAAATTTAGACGAACTTAGATCAGACATAGTCTTTATCACTATGGCTTAGCACTGTAGGTTTGTTCCAACATTACTCGTTGCTATCAGATTGCATCTGCAATAATTTTGTTTCGTTGTCTTTAGGGGAAGAAAAATCCTGGTATAGATTACCAATCTGTAAAGGCATTCTTGGACCAAGTAAAGAATGCAAAAGAGATGAAAGTGGACAGGTAGACACTGTTTCTTTTTGTAATTAATGTTGCTAAATTTGTTATCCTGAAGGTAGTGTTATACTGGTGGATCAGGGATGCCTTTCAACGTATCATTTACAAACTTGAACATTTTATTTGTACACACGTGCATTTTTTTATCATCACAAAGTTTCATGTTTAGGAGGGTAGTAATCTGGGTTTTCGTGGAGACGCAACCGAACAATCACAAGAACTATAGAAGAGATGAGATAAGAAGAGGAGGAGAAATAGGGGGAAGAAATAGAAATAAGGGGAGAGAGGAGCGGAAGAGAGAGAACAGAGAAAGAGGGGAGAGAATTAGGGAGAGAATTGGTCTAAATAATGTAATACAATGCATAAAACTTCTTTAGATAGAGTTTTAACTTAACAATTACAGAAATAACCTGAAGTACTCTGTCTTACTGGATCTCCATTAAAATAGTGTCACCTTTTAGCATTTGAACCTGTTTCAATATACTATAATGGTGTTCCAAATGCCGATTTTTTTTATTTCTTTTATGAATGAATTCTATAGAAAGGATATCTAGGAAGATTTCTACTGTGGTTCAAGTAGAATTGCATTAGCACTTGTATCTAGCATTTCATGTGGCCTTGTATAGCACATAAGCTGACTTCCTAAAATTGGAAAATCTTATATGCTATATGGATTTGATAAGAATTTTTTTTCCCTCATTCAATTCCAAATTTCAACTTTGCTTTACATTGTGCATAGCTTCTGGGTAGATGGGATTGGGCTAAAGTAATGTTTCTTTGCCTCTATAACACGTCCCCATTTGAAATTATCTACTCTTTTGGTTCAGTTGGCATATTCTTATGCGGATGAGGGCTCCCAAAGAAGGTTCTTGTGATCCTATTGCACCTCTTGAGCTACCTCACTCACTGCATGTATTTCAGCGCGTCTCCCAGACAGATTCACTGAATGAGGTGACAAAAATTTTTGCTATTTCTATTTTCCTGGTGCTTCTCCTTTGCATCTTCTTCTCCCCTATTACAGTACTTCATGATTTTCCCATGTGTATGTTTCTATCTGCATAAATGCAAACTTACAGCCATTAGATCGAGAAGATAAAAATATATCACTTATAATATTAGAATGACAAAATACAACCTCTTGTCCACTCTCTCTTTAAGAAGTATGCAGCCTCAAGAGGGTGACGCTATGTTGATTTGCATACCTTACGATTGCTTCCTCCTTGTGACACCTTACTATAGAACCCTAGCAGAAAGGAAAATGTAAAACTGAAACATTATTACAAACAAAATTTAGCAAACAAAAATTGGATAACGTGCAACTTTATTATCTTGGTTGAGTCAATTTTATGTATACTTTCTTAATGTGGATTTGGAGATGGAATAACCATAGATTGTGCATTTCTCAGGAAGGTTGCCACACATTTCGTGGGGGATTTTGGAACTACTTCAGTATAGGTAAGATTATCGTGCCTTCCAAAGAACCCTTTATATGAATATCTTTCTATACTATTCTCAGTCAGCATGAGAGTTACGTAGCTGATCTGCTTAAACTTATTCTACATTTTCTAAACCTACGGTTATTTCTCTCATCACATTTACCAATTTTCTTTTGCAACCACCTCATTTAAAAGTTTAAGCAGATAGATTCCAATTTTTTTCATGTAAATTTAGCCTTTAACATGTCCCTTAACATATAGCTTGTATTCAATTTTTATCGAAGGCCAAACATGCAAATAATTTATTTTTTTATTTTCTTACATGAGTGATGGCAAGACTTGATCCTAAGACCTTAGCCTGCTCTAATATTATATTAGATCACCTCATCTGTAAGTTTAAGTTGTTTTGCAACCACCTCATTTAAAAGTTTAAGCAGATAGATTCCAATTTTTTTCATGTAAATTTAGCCTTTAACATGTCCCTTAACATGTAGCTTGTATTCAATTTTTATCGAAAGCCAAACATGCAAATAATTTATTTTTTTATTTTCTTACATGAGTGATGGCAAGACTTGATCCTAAGACCTTAGCCTGCTCTAATATTATATTAGATCACCTCATCTGTAAGTTTAAGTTGTAAGGGAAAGCACACATTTATTTATTTAAATTTTATCCGCAACATTTCTTTTCTTCTTATTATACAAAATTATGGCTCGAGAAAATGGCTCTAGATGTTTAATAAACCCTCTACTTAAAAGGAAGGGATGCAACTAGAGAATTTCTATTGAAATTGCAACATTAATATTTTCCCCCTATAAACTTGTCATTTTTATTTTAGCTCTAAATGCTAGTGAAGCAGCTATGATGCTTGAAGATTTTGCAAGATTTGCGATGTGCAAAGTATTGTTTTCATGGTAACCCATCATTTGGTGTACTCATAATTCCTATGGTGTTTATACTTAAGGAGTGGTACCATTTTTCTCGTGTAAGAGGTTGTTATGAAAGCCCGTGAGTGAAATGGAGTTGAACTTATCGAGGACTGGACACGATATCTCTTTAATTTCAAGGAATAAATATTAATTTGGAAGAAGCTACTCAACACTTGTTTAGATATTCAGCTGTAGCCTTACTGTATGACAATATGGAGGAAACAAGAAATTATTTATAAGAGAGCATGTTGGTGTAAAAACCATCCAGTCATGTTGGTGTAAAAACCATCCAGTACTTTTATGGAACTAAGTATGTTGAATAGTTTATATTGTTGTTTTTCATATATATTGCATCAAGTATTTTGTGCACAGATACAACATTGAGAGGTACATATTCATCTGGAGCAACGTTTTAGCTTTCAATCTATTTATCGTTTGTCTGGCACAGCATATTTGAAAATTATTTTTCTCGAAACTCATTTTTAACCACACATTCTCCCAATAAAATAATTTTACACATGAATTCATAACTTTTCCTTACTTTTTAACTACAAATTTTTAAAAATAAAAATAAATAAATAAATCATTTTTCACTTCAAATAATTTCTCCCAAACAAATACTTAAGCCCTAGCCTTTTGCTTTTGCATACCTACACTTTTATTGCACAATCTCTACTGACCTCAAACAGACTAAGAATTGATCCATATAGTTTTGAGAAGTGTGATCTTAGACAACTAAAGGAACTAGGCTGTCGATTCACTTGCATCCAAAGGTTGGGACCATCGCCGTTACAAGGAGTATGTCTCAACCTTCCTCACCAGATACGTGCTCTTGTTCAAATAGACAGACATGGCCTTCCCAATTTTAGGGATCATTAGCGATTTTTAAATGCTTTATCTTTGTATGGGAAGTAAAACTCCCCCATTTATTTCACTTCTTCATTTGTTGCACTCTTTCATTTCTGGAGGTCATGTATATGCCCTCCCCCCTTTGATTCTTGTGAGTTTGATATATTACATGATTGAGGGATTTTATACTCCATCTGCTTTTCTTGGTGGAGCCTGAAGACCCACTTAGGCTGTGTTGGTATTTTGCATTTTTTTTTTCTTTTTTAAGGACAACTTAACCCTATTAATCTTCTATCAGATGTTTGTATAAACACAAAAAGAGGAATTTTCAATTTCATGTCTGGTCCATGCTTTAGTTTCTGAGTTTCTCTGGTGGCTACATTATGCTGTTCTCCATGCAGGGATGGATGCTCAAGTTTCCTATGCGTTTCATGCAGAGAGAAAGCAACATCCTGAGAAATTCAAAAATCAACTAGTTAATCAGGTGCGCTGCTTCTTCATCTACAGAATTTAATATGAGAATTGAAATGCTTTGTCTTTTTGAAAGAAACCATATATCTCATAATTTGTAAAAGTGGTGGAGTTTATTTCAAAATCTCCTTCCCAAATTCGATTGTTCAGTTTCTTCTTTAGTGCCTTTATTGTTGGTAGAAGTTTCTGAAATTACACTTTCCCTAGTTAACTTCTTCTTAACTAAATTTTCTATTTCAATATGACTATAACCAGTACATTATTTCTCTTTATTAGGTTTGCTCTGACTTGAGTAGTTTTTAGTTATTTGGAGAAACTATTCTGCACATACAAGTTGGAAATTATTTGCAGAAATGAAAGGAATGATGAATATGCAATAAAAAAAACACACTGCCACCCATGCGTTAGCAGTGTCCACTACGCATTGGTGCCACTCCTCGTAGCTTTACAGAAAGCCAAAATTACTCCAACCAAATCAAACTAATCACCATTTTTAAGGCTCCAATAGTTTCCATGCCAAAGATAGTTGTTCTATGTTTTTGAAATTTTGTAGCAGTCCTAGTGGAACGTCAGAGGATGTTACATGTTTTAAAGTAAACATCATAGGATGTTACATGTTTTAAAGTAATTTAAGTACCTTGTTTTGAAAATCTAATTTTTAAACTATAAAAACCTTCTGTAATGAAAATCTAATTGTCTACCTATAATTGAACGCATATTATGGAAAAAGTATCCTCATTTTATTTTATTCCATCAGAAGTGTTTCAGCAGATAGTTGTTGGGTTGAATAGTATTATAGTAATAATACTTGTGTCTATGAAACTTATGGAGATTACTGCTTGTCTTCGATTAAAAATTATGTACTTTTCCTCAACAAGTCGTTTGGTTCTTTTACTGATCATATTATAGGGGTTAATTATAGATATATATTGATCTTATGGTGCTTCTTCGTGTATTGGGGATGCTCAATACATCTTCATGTTATGTTTTAGTTTCTGAACATTCTTTTAACATAATGATGATTTTTTTTTTATCTTGCTTTGGCTAGAGTACCTATGCAAAGTTGAGTTGTTCACAAGGATGGTTTTGTCCTTCTCTCATGCGTCCATCCTCGAGGTTAGTATGTATTTAGAGTTTTACTATGTTCAGATGTAACCTCTGTTATTCATCTTTTCATGCTTTGAACAACAAATATACTGGTTTACAAATGGGGGGTATGACACCTTTGAGCATCTGTAATGAGTGTGACTGGGATTTGGAAACTGCTTTACTTTGCGACTTCAAACTCCCCCTCCCCACCTCCCGTTTATAGCCAAATGTTTAAATGTTGTTGATGTGAAAAGATTTTGCCTTATCTTTATCTGTTGTCGATGTTTTAATGTTGTTAGCATGATGATATCTTATACTGACTTCATTACTTATCCCAGTATCTTATTGATAAAAAATAAAGATAAAGAAGTTCACAGGATTTATGAAAAACCTCAATCCCTGACTAAAAGCTCTCGTAGATATCTATCCAAACCTCATTACTGATGTTATTTACTCGAGGATCTGATCCTAGTAAATAAGATAGATCGTATTTTTCAATCAAAAGTTAGAAGCATCCAACTTACTGTTTAATATAATGGGTGGCTGGTGTTTTGCAGAGACATTTCTCAGCTGGCAAAGGTAAAAATCATGAAAAAGCCAGGTCAATGGATAGACCTTCATGTACCTCATAAGTGAGCATTTATGGTTCTACCTCAATTCTTTGGGACAATGCTTCTTAAGGTGGCTCTTCTTACCATATACGCTATTTATGTGCAGCATCAGGTCCATTGTCTGCCTAAACTTGCCTAGTTTTTCTGGGGGTCTTAATCCTTGGGGAATACCTAACAGGAAGAAACTTCACTCGGTTAGTGTTGATTTTATTAACTGGCATCGAAATGCAACTGAGCACACATACTTTTAAAGTGATTTTGATCTGATTGTTACATTACTTTGTTCTTTTCCAACAGAGGGACTTCAATCCTCAGTATGTCGATGATGGTTTTCTTGAGGTTGTTGGTTTCCGTGATGCATGGCATGGGCTTATCTTATTTGCTCCAAATGGGCATGGAACTCGCCTCGCTCAGGTAAATATAAATTTGGATTAGGACAATCATTACGATTTAAATCTTCCTGTGTAACAATCCACACACTTAACTGTGACCCACTGGGGAGCAATGTTGAACACAAGGCAGTACCAATAGGTCCCATACCATGCTTGTATTTTATCTTGGGTCCCATGGGTAGTTGCAATGATCATATAATCAATATTGACTTGTTCCTGTTTTTGGACACTGAACATACATACAAGTAAAATTTAGTGCACTGGTTATTGAATCTGATTACACGGACAGAGCCAGGAATGTAATTTAGTTGTTTGGGGTAGGGGCCTGACTTAACTGAAAATAAAAATTTTGAAACAAGGGAACAGCACCAAAATATGTTACATAATTTTGTTGATACATTATTGCTGTCCTGACTGTGTTAATATTTGAAAAAAAACCCTATCCTTCTCAACAAACCTTTTGCAATAGTAGCAACCAGAATAATCAATATTAAGCTCATCATCACTGACGTAACCAAATATATCCTTCTTACTAGTCTAGATAAGAACCTAGCTCTATTTCTGAAGTTGCTGTTGGAGATAATGCCTCAGAATACCTTAAAATTATATTATGGGCCATGTCAAACTTGGGAGTTTTTTTTTTTTTTTTCCTTAACTGACAAGGAAACTTGGAATTCCTTCTCTCTTTTTTTTTTTTTT